AAACGGCACGCAGAGGGCTGCGCAGCGCTCACTTGGGCCAAACTGTGTGCCGACAACGCACATTACTGGCTGCGTCAGGGGTATGAACTATGCTAGAATGCTGAAGATTGACCACAAGAAGAGGACCCTTTTCTGGCAACCGCGGATGTCATGTGTGAGCGTCGGATGTCGTGTGTGAGCGTCAACGCTGCGGAGCTCTGTTACAACTTCCCACAGGGTGTGCGTGTAAGACCAACGGATGCTCAACCTCACAGACTGCAAGCGTCTTCCTATCCATGCGCGGAGTGGCCGAGGCGATCAGAAAACCTGGCCGTTTCTATCGTGGAACTTAGGGAAGACTGGTGGTCTTGAGTTAAGTGTCACAATTTCTCACATACATTACACAGATACACTCGCACATACATACACACACATACATACATACATACATACATACATACATACATACATACATACATACATACACACATACACACATACATACATACATACATGCATACATAAATACATACATGTGTAAAATTACATTACATTACATCACACACACATACATACAGACATACACAAATTACATCACATACATTACATACATGACACACATTACACACACTACATACATTGTGACACACAATATACACATGACATACACACCTACATACATACAGTACATCACATACCTTATACGCCTGACACACATGACACACATTACATACATCACATCACATACATTACACACATGACATATATGTTGTGTATGTCTGTATGTATGTATGTATGTATGTAAGTGTGTATGTATGTATGTATGTATGTATGTATGTATGTATGTATGTATGTATGTATGTATGTATGTATGTATGTATGTAACGCACCGCAGCGCAACGCAATGTAGTGTAATGTGTGTGTGTATGAACTGTGATCAAATGTAGTGTATGTGTGTGAGTGTCTGTAATGTATGTATGTATGCATGCACGCATGCGTGCAATGTAATGTAATGTAATGTAATGTAGTGTAGTGTAATGTAATGTATGTGTGCATGTATGTGTGTATGTGTGTGTGTATGTATATGTGTGTCAATGTATGCATGCATGTGTTTGTAATGCAGTGTAATGTAATGTAATGTAATGTGATGCACTGCATGGTAATGAAGGGCAACGCTTTCTGGCTTTCCTGTCCTGCTCTATTTTCTGAAGGGTTTCGCTGCCTTTATGGGCTCAGTCGCATGGCTCCGCGAAGAATATGGTATCCTCGTTGGACTGAAGAGATTTGAGGATCTTTTCCTTTCTTGAATATCTGATGCGGTAGCTGTCATCGCATTGATTTGCCCGTAAGCCTCTGCTTTGGCGAAGCGGTTCTTGATTTCAGCGCACGCCAATAGCAATGTAGGGCCAAACATCATGCAACACAGAGATTTTGTGCAAGTGTGGTATATACGTCATCTGCTTCTCATTATTCAGCCGCTCGAAATGGGTAGGCCTCCTCACCAGCCATCTAACACCACGGAGCGACAACCATTTAAGGTGCGGTAGAATGTCTTCCAATATGCTATGGAGCCAGTAGCGTCTTCGCCCCCAAGAACTGCTCATGAGTGGTTCGTTCTTGCCGAATGCGGTTGATTAGTTGCCGGACAGGAGGGCTGAAACAAAGATACCTCAAGTTCCTTGCGCTGCCACTTGTCAAGTGGCATCGGCTGATTTCAAGTTCTCTTTCGTGCGGATTTTTTGACTACGATGGGGTACTCATCAGCCCGCCGGACTTGGAACACCGCCCTGTCAACCCAGCACCCAATGACATCGCCTGACCTCTTGGGGTCCTCATCCCTCGGCTCAAGCTCCCGCTTCCCGTTTCGGAAAACAAACGTTGCACGCAACACACCCCGTCATCCTTGCCACATTTTCTGCCCCGAGGCATTTTGGCCACCACAAACAAACACAGGAGAACCCTGCGCACGGGTTTCTGCGCGTCTGACTCAGGTGTCTCATGCAACCCATCTTGGCCATTGTAATTTCGCCAACGCTCACCCTCGCGGAATTACCGTTGCAGCGGAAGCAGCTCTGAGGTTGAAGCCACGCCTACCCCGAATTGGCGCTGGGCATAAGTTGCCGCAGAGCCTTCTTCGCATCGTGTCACAGCGGGAGTTTGGCTGCATTCCAACATCCTTGGGTGGTATTGGATGGCTGTTTGAGTCCTCGGATGATGTCCATTTGATCCTTTTAAGGAAGGTTGCTGGCGCCGACAGATGCAAGAACCTCTGCAGTGATAGTTGAACTACACCTATTTTCTTGAGGAAGCTTGATCGCTTGGCCACCTCTTAAGTCGCGACAGCACTCCACACTGAATACAGTTGAGCTGTCCCTCAAAGACCATACCGCTGCATGTTGGGCAGGCAAACCGCGATCAACGTTCACCGCCTGATCACGCGAAAGCCCCTGACCCTCATCCTCAGCGGAATCCTTTTTCGCATCCAATTGCTCGGCGCGGATGTACCAAATGTCACCGTTGAAAGCGTCGAAGACGGCACCTTGCTTCTGGTCAAGACGCCGTCGCTTGCAGTCTTGATGAAGCAAACCCCCGCCTTGATTGCCGTCTTGCAGTCAATCTGGATCTCGAGAGGGCGATCGCCCTCACTCCTGCGACATAGCGGGCGTCCAAGGTCTGTTTGTCTGCGAAGTAGACGCGCTGTCGCCCAGATGCTACACTGCCGCCGCTACCTGAGGTCAAGCCATTCTTCGCGATGCTCTGGAAGAGGCGCTTGTCCTTGCGGCGGTAGAGGATGCTTGAAGGTGACTCGTTGACGCGCTTCCCTGCGAAAGGCGTCGGGTCATCTGCAAGGGTCTTGAAACCATTCGGCGGCGATCTCGTCATCCTCGAAGATGTCGGCAAGCCAGTCGTTGTGTCCCTGGTCTGCCTTCAGCTTAAAGATCCACTGACTGACAGGGGCTCCGTCTGCTTGCGCCGGAGCAACTTTTTGCAACACATCTTTGCCTCGGGCCAAGCTAACTTGCACGTTCGGGTCGCTACGCAACTGCCTCGCTTGGCAGGCTTAGCTAAGTCCGCCAACCTGGGTGAAAAGTTCTGGCCTCGCAAAGTCCGGCTGGCAGACTTGGCCAAGTGCCCGGCGAAACGCCCAATACTTTTGGCCGAGTCTGCCAGCCGGCTAGGCTGACATAGCGAGGTTATAACCTAGTTATAACTCAGGTCGGTGGACTTAGCTGCGCAAGTACTTAGCGACGCCGCCGAACACGCAAGAATTTTGTTCCAGGGGCGGGGGAGCCGCAGCGTGTTGCGGAGCGCGTTGCCGAGATCTTCGAGAGCCGTCGTCGTAGCGGTAGCCTCGGCGCCGCATCTGCGGAGGATCTTCAAGATTGTGGTCAATGACCGGTGGAGAGTCGTCCAAGCGATGAGGAATGACTTCAACCGAAGTTGGCGGCACACACTCGCCTCATAGTAGAGCGGTGGTCTTTTCACGGCCATAGGCCAAACCCGGGTCACCCTCGCCTTACCACAGCAGTCCAGCGGCTGCCCTAGCTCCGACCTCTTCCCTTCTTCACTGCTGAAGGGCAGTGCGATCATCTCACTAATATTTTTCGCATTTCGTGAGAGTGTCCTTACAGAACGCACGAGCCTCAATGTTCGTCGCCTTGGTGATGTTGCCTTGGAGAGGTCGTGGGCCCGCTGGTCAACACCACATTTGCTACACGACCCATTGCTGGGCGCAGAACTGACACTGATCTTCACAATCTTATCATCACTGCGGGACAATGGTACTCCTCCGTTCATTGCAAAGGTGACGCAGCACGGTTGCTCGAGAGCAGCGGCTGCATGGTGGCATGTTCGGAGAACGCATAGCGAACAAGCACTCATAGACTCATAGCACGAGTGGTTGCACGATGGTATTGGCATGGCAAAAACGTACTTTCCACTCAATGCGTTCAGCCGCAAGCAGACTGCTACTGCGACTAGTTCGACCCCTACTTTGTCGGCCTTCCCTGTATCGTCGGCCATCATTCTTCACCGCACATGCACTGACCTCGACTTCACTCGGTCTCACATTGCTTGTCTTCAGCTGTCTTGGCGCAAGTTCGTACTCATCCCTCATTCTTCCATGGGCATCAGCAGTCTGCGTATGATTCATTCTTCCCAACCCTATTCGGACCTGAGCGCTTGAATCGTTGATTCATTTGAAACGCACTCACTTCTTAAAGCACGGTTCTCATCCTACTGCTCTGCAGCCTCACTCAAGTGAGACTCGGTCTTCACATGTTTACGCGACTCTTCAGCAAGCATTTCATCCGCAATCTTAGGACTATTTACTTGTCCCCTCTTGAAAGGTTTTCGGATTTGGGTCCGTTCCCAATTATTATTTGAGGCGGCCCAAGAGCGAGAAGAAGCCCTTGCTTCCACGGTCTGATCTACGCCTGCATCACTTTGCTGGCTTGCCACTCGGGCCCCAACACTTACTCCTCTCCCATATCCAGCTGATCCGGTCTCCCTTGCGACGATGCACAAATGGCGGGATCGTCAAAGATTGGCCATTGGACATTGCCCCCTTAGGCTATATGAGGCTGATCTCATGGGCCTTACCGTCCTAGATAGCCCCACGTCTTGCAGCACGCGGGATAAACCTACGGCTGACAACCTGAAAATCCCCTTGCGCACGCCTGCGCAGCTCCCCCGAAATGAATGCAATGCCCCACTGGGAAGCTGCAGACGCTCAGAAAAACGTTTGTTTTGCTGTCCGATCACAATTCTGGGCAGCTTTGCTGGATGCTTGAGCCAAAATGGCACCGCGTGTGGCTCACGCTAAAAATGCTTGCCGCGGGGAAACTATTGACACATCACATCACACAAAAAAACGTCAAATGCATTGTCACATTGCTGCACATTGCGCTGCATTACGCTACACACAGTGCGCTACACGCAATGAAGTTGCACTTCGTTGCGTAAGCTGGCATATCAAACACGGTGCGCAAGTTTCAAACCTCCTCAAAAGTTGTCTCAAATGCCCACTTGCTCCTTCTCCTTTCGCGCTAAGCTTCTGAGCTTGCTTCCTTTCTTGAGCGGAGCACTCCGGGAGCACTTGCTGCCCTCTGCAGGGTGAAACCCAAGGTCAGCACACATTGGCTGGCGCAAGGGGTAACAAGTTCCGAACATCTTCCAAAGGGATGGAACCGGAGTGGTCTAAACCAATTGAAATTTGGGTTGCGCCCCCCCAAACCAACTACCAATAAGATTGTCAGTAACTCATACAATATCAACGGATCGGCTTCGTGAGGGTCAGAAATGGCCCATTCTGGCGATTGGACTGGATCCTTCCGGGCGAAAAGATTGAAACGCCAAACTGGAAGTTGAGCCGGGATCCAAATTGAGGCACACCCTCGTCCTAAAACTGATGCAATGATCTGAACTTGCTGGTCATCGGTCCAATGTCATCCAGCTCTGGCATCTGCACCCTGGCGCACCGCGTCACGCCGGCGGACCACTGTCAAAAGTGAAGAAACGAACCCCTTCAAGACAAAAAAAATCAAGCGAGCTCCCAGCCGTAGAAATGGTCGAGCAAGAGCGAAAGGAAAAGCGCGGATCGGAAAACACGCTTGGTATGAAAACTTGAAAACCTGATTCACAAACATTTGATTTTCGAAACCAAAAAACGACAAGAGGAAAACTGTATATATCTATATACCTTTGCAGACACGAAAGTGCCAAAAGCTGGTTAGCAACTACAACCTACGAGGTCAAAAGTTACCGTTGCTTCAAATCCAAAAAACACTGAGCTAAACGCAGATTCGAAAACAAAAAGCCCAGGGCCGAAAGCCAAGAACACGGAATTGCAAACCAAGAAATGCGGATTCGTACGCTCCAAAACGCGGAATAGCAGACGCCCAGTAACAAGGATTTCGGAAAACTTCGCACGGATTGTGAAAGTAGGAACACTGCTTTGGAAACAGAACAAGCGGGTTTGACGACTAAACAGCCCCTGATTCCACGCTACGGAAACACAAGGTGCGGAATCCAAGTCAAACATATCAAGGCACCACACACAAGCTCAGAAGGGAAACGTGGCAATGTTCATTGTTGATTCGGCGCTTTTTCTGCCTGAGTAAGTTTTGAACCGAGGGTAGTGCCGCCTGCAAGAGTGTGAACTCATAACACCTAGCTGAAGATGGCCCTCAAAGGAATCACAAATCCATGAGAGCTGCCCAAGCTCACCAGCGCCTTTTTCCGTGTTGGTTTAGCCGCACGCCTTCCGCGAACATAAGTTGAGTGGGTTTCTGGGATCTGTCATGACCCGCGTCCCTCAACCTATCACGCATCTGGCCTCTTCCGAGGTCTCCGGCTTGAGGGTTAGCGTTTAAGCCTGGCGCGCACCTTCCTAAATGATTGAAAGCAAGGTCGCGCCTCGCGCCTGGGTCCTAGGTTGCCACCGCGGCTATTCCTGCTCGAGTCCTCCAAGCTGTAGCGCTCGATCTTGTGCCCGCGCAGCTGCAACCACAGGGCCCGCAACAAGAAGTTGTAGCGCGCGCCATCTTGAGTGTTTGCACTTCTGAACCGTTCAATACCTCTTCTTGGGTCCAATGGCGTGTCCGCCGCTCACGGCGCGATCTCTCTCCAAGGACACCTCCACGCGCGAAGCCTCAAGACCTGCTGATGGGCCAACATGATGAGCCCAGCCGTCCCCACATAGCACGGAGCGGACTGGCGCACCACGACGTCCTCGTTGCGCTGTTGGTTCACCTCCAGACCAGCCAGCTTCAACTTCCCGGTCTCCCACTTCCCGAAGCCCTCGAAGCTTTCTTCGCCTTCTGGCACCGCTCATTGCCCGTTTGTCAACCTCGCTGCCATCGCCCGCTAGCACAAAGACGCACCAGTCGCCATCCTGATGCCTCCAACCTTGTCGAACCTAATCCTAGCAGCACGCGCCAACCCGTAGAAAGCCTTCCGCAACTTCACCACAAATCCGGGCCATTGGGACCAAACATCGCCCAGTCCGGCGGCGGTCTTGCCAGTGGGTCTCGCCTGCTCGCAGAAGCCGGCGCGCATCACCAGCTTCGCCGTGAAGCGGGGTTCGCCCTGGTCGTCAGGTTTCCACAACATCACAGACTTGCCCGGCTCCGCATGTCTAGCACGCCGCTCAGGTCTGAGCGCTGCTGCCATGCGCCGGATGCGGTTGTTGCACGGTTCGGTGGCTGCCAGCCCAGCTCCGTTAGCGGAAGGGGTTCGTACTCCTTGGCAAGCTTCTCGACCGTGTCCTTCAGCTTGCCAATGATCGACTCCTCAACTCAAGCGATGTGCTTCGGCCGGGGTCCGATTCCGGACATCCTAGCAAACTTGTGCCCAACTCACCGTAGGTGCCCGCCAAAGAACCACACCGGATCTTGCAGCCACCCGCACACACACTTTGCCATCTCTACCGCCCAGCTTGAGCTCGGCGCACCTCTTGTGGCAAGTCGAGGAGGTGCGTGATGCTCTTTTCAGCTGCAAACGTGAACTACTACGACGAGGAGCGCTTCGCCCCAGACGACTACTCGCACTACCAGGAGGCTGCCGGGGGCAGCAAGCGGAAGGCCTTCACGTGGCCGGCAGCCTCGTCACATGCGATTCGCGCCAAGCTGTCGTCGTTGGTGGGCCCCGGCAAAGGCCAAAGCTCGCATGGAGCTTTTTGACGGGGATGCCCATCTCTCACGTGTTGCGCAATCGGGCGATCATGAGCGTAGCTGTTGAGCCGAGTGTCTTCCGAGTGGGACTACAGTAGTTTTTGAAGTTGGAACTCTTGCGGCTGAATCGTCGAGTGCAGTTACTGAATTGGGCATCGTAGTTGAGTCGGGGGCTTGAACGTTTTGTGCTGCTTCATTGGGGGTAGTTTTGGAATCGTAGAATCCTGCTACAACCCCCTGGAAGCTAACGAAAAAGCAAAACGGGCGGTAGAGGCTTGCAACGCGTTTGGGTTGGGGCCAGCCCCAACAAACCTTTTCCCTATCGGGGGAGCTCTGCCTAATTCGAGGAAGGTTGGCGCTATGCAACCCACAATCAAATTTGACTATATGTACATATCAGAACTGTACCCAATGGATATGGGAAACTGGCACATTCCTCTTAGTTGCGTGAACTGTGTGAGTCCTCCAATGTACGGAGCATGTTGATCAACCTAGTCTTAAAAGCCGCGCCTCACTGGCGCTGAATACTTGTCATCCAGGTATTTCACAAGCTCGTCAGAGCTGGGGCCTTGGAAAAAACTGCCCCAGCGCCGTTCCAAAGGCTGTATGAGAGATGCACAAAAGGCACACGCTCGGGTTGAGCGCGACGGCCCACGGTTAGAATTCACCGACCTGAATCATCTAAGGGAATCTCCTGTCAAGAGCGAGCTGAAACCCGTTTCAGCCCGCAACCTGAGCCGCCAGAGATGCCATAGACGGTTTGGATCGTCCGCAGCGCGCTCTGGAAATCTGTGTCCTCAGCAGCACAGACTCAAGAAGTACCTGTGTTGGAGTTTTCAAATTTTCTCAACACATCTATTTGTTGCGCATTCCGTCTCAGAACCTCCAACCCTTCCATCTACCTGTTCTTTTAACGCAAAAGCATCTGAGGTGTTGAGTTGCATTAAAACAACAAGCAGGAGCGCGTTGAAGTTTGAGGGTTGGTGGCAAAGGAACACCAACCGCTTTGACAACTGCTAGAGCACAAAGACCCACACTTGCAGTTTTGGTGGAGCAGCCCATCTGCAAACGTACCGGATATAAAGAATCAAAGCAACAATGAAACAGGCGCCCGCGCAAAAACACAGCCCCCAGCCCCATCTGAATCTACATCCGTTTCTAGCGCCATCGCCCCAATGTGGCCCTCTGCAACCAGGTCACTAGGGTCAACTCCTCAAGTGTAGCGTGGCGCAGAAACCCGGAAGATGTCTTCGCAGTCCTTCTTGCCAGCGCTCGACCGCTTTTTGCGTGGAATGGGCGATCGGTGATTGGTGATTGCAGAACGCGCCTGTCTCAGTTTGGGGAGGGTGCCAAGTTTCACATCGCGCCTCATCGAGGCCTTCTTGCGAGGTACATTGCCAAGACAGACCCTGGCCCATGTCCTCTCGGGTCTGCGGATGAAGCCTCCTTCCTGCGCAACAGAAAGGACACACCGCAAGTTGCGTTCGCCAGCCTTCTCAACCTTCTCCTCCTCCTTCCGCTCTTCTTGCTGCGTCTCCTCTTGCTCTCCCCCCCACAAGATCCTGATTTGGGCTTGCAAGCCGAGGGGCGCAGAGAAACAGCTGGATGAGTCAAGAGTGCATACCCAGGATGAGCCCCGTTGAATACGTGTGTATACGTGCAAGTATAAGTGTATATGTATGTAGACAGATATTAAAACATACACATATGTAAACACCTATCTACGTGTCTACCTTTTGTTCTGTCTTCATCTGTTCCCCACCAGGACTCTGCAAAACGAAAAAGGTAAACCGATTGAACTCTTTCTCAAAGGAAAGGTCAGACCCGAAACCGAATAAACCGTTCAAGCTGCAGAATCCGTTGGAACCTTCTCCCTAAAAACCGTTTAAACCCTCTCTCTACAAGGAAAGGTCTGGGCCCAAAACCGTTTAAAGCGTTTCAACCCTTTGAGCCTTCGAGGAAAAGCCTGGCCCCAAAACCGTTTTAACCGTTTAAACCGTTTTAACCGTTTAAACCGTTCGAACCCTTTTTCAAAGGAAAGGCCTGGGCCCAAAACCGCTTAAGCCGCTTCAACCGTTTGAGCCTTCTCTACCGTTAAAACCGTTTAAACCGGCTGACCCGATTGAACCGTTTAGACCGGTTCAACCGGGGGTGGCCTTCCTTTGAGGCAGGGCGGTTTGGTCAGAACGGGAGGGGCCTTGCTCTCAACGTTCTACAGTTTCAACGGCCTTTGGGTCCTGATCCTGAGGGGGCCTTTCCTCTAGGAAAGGTTTACAGTGTTTCTTGCATCTTCTGGCAAACACCAGCCTAGAAATCACTCAGCCTGGGTTCAAAATTCCCTGGCAAGGTGTAGCCGCTGCTTGCCCCCTTCCCCCAAAGCCAAGCAAAAGGCAGAAAACACCGCAAAATCTTAAATAGGATGTTCTTTTGACAAACAGGGAAATAATCCTAGTTGGACGCCCAGAAAAAAGATACTCCAAATAGGTTTCCTGGGTTTCAATTGTAGTTGCGGCGCTTCTGCTTTTTCGTGCTTTAAGGCAAGCAGCAGGAAACAGGCGCCTACATTGAATTCTGGAAGTAGAAACCCTACTACAATTGTTTCCTTATTTAAAGGGTCACTTTAGAATCTAACTGACAGTTCCAGTTAAAGACCTTTTACTACACGCCTGCCGAAATGATCTAGAACTATCCGCCGCTCTACTTTTAATCAGCAACTGCGAAAGTGAACGCGGCGCCGGCCTCGCCGGCCACGACAGCACGAACCCCGCTGGTCAACGCGCAGCCCTCGGGCGTGGACTGCGCAGGTCAACACGCCCAGCCTCCGCCAGCGTGGGCCCCACGCGTCATCGCACCCCCGCGCCCCCCCCCCCCCCAATTCCAACACACGCGGCACTGCCCAGGCCGGCCTGCTGCCCCAGGCACTGTTGCACCGCTGCTGCCGAAACAGCTGCGGGAAAACCAACCTCATGCCAAACCACGAATGAAACTACAGTTTCAAACGTGGGGAAATGCGCGCAAGGGTCTTTCAAGCGAGCAACAACACTAGCTGCAAATTGCGGGTTTCTTTTGAGAGACATGCTCTGAACAGCATCATGGCTCGGCACATAACCCCGGTCGCATGACTGCGAGACTCATGCTTGTCCACAAAAGTGTATAGGCAACAGGCAGGCTGTTTCTCATCTTCGACACAAGCTCGCGGCTCTTCGTATTTGCAGGCGCTATCAGCGGTTTCGGAGCCGAGCGGCCAGCACATGGGCAAGGCACGAAGCAGCGCAGCCTGCCGCTCTGGTGGAGTGTAGTTGTCAAAATGACAAAAAATCCACGCAAGCCCGCCGCCTTAGCCACCAAAAACACTGGCAAGACCAGCATTCGCCTTTCCTCAGGCTTCAAAGCCAGAAACGCGGGGCTTGTCTTGCCGCACGCCAGCTTCAGGCCCAAGCTGCGAAGCACGATCCTTCAGCTGCAAGCCTTGCCAAGCGAACAATTCTGCTGCTGTAGTAGGTATGCGTTCCAGGACGGGACCTCTGGCACTCTGGAGCAAGCAAAGGAAAGGAGCCGTGACAGCTCACCAGAGTTCGGCCCTTCCACTTACAGTGCGGAGCGCCGTCAACAGAAGCACTCCTCATTACTTTCCTGCGTTTCCAGAGCCTCTGACGTCAACAGGCACTTGTGGCAGTGGCATCCTTCCATCCACGCCACGAGCCAACGAGTCGCATGAAGAGGCACAAGAGCCGTAACAGCAGCGCATGCTGTTCGCGCGCAAGAGATCTGTGAATCAGCTCACCCGACTCCCTGCCCTGTTTTCCTAGCAGCGCTGTGTCCAAAAACTTGCAATCCATTGATACGCTGCCAAATGCCCAGCACACTTTCTAAAGACTCCCACCTCCAGTCCAGAAGGCGAATGTGGAAGGCCCGCAAGTCTGACAATTGCTCCGCGGAACATTCTGCACACATCTGCTCTCGAATCTCTATACGTCCTTTGTCTGCAAACAAAGCACACACAGCGCGAAGTTCCTGCTCAAAGCTCTTCCACCCAGCACTTCCTGAAAATATTGCGAAGGGGCCTCTCAAAGACAGTGGGCGGCAGACAATGTCAAGGCTCGCGGGTTGGAAACTGCCAAACGCTGCTCTCCAAGGCCTGGTCAGACAGGAAGCCCCGGGTCTCTTCTCTGAACGCTTGCATGATCTCCCGCCCATACTCCAGATGTATCATGCGTGCCGCTTTCACAGAAGCAGGGACACCCTTACGGCTTGCAAGGCAGCGACCTCAACCCATGCTCAAAATTTGAAGAGGCATTAAAATTCTTCTCCGTGTGCCCCAGCCCACCAAGCTGCTCCCCCGGCCTCGCAAGAATGAGTCTCCTCCGTGACGCACTTGAAGTCATAATGCGCTTGTGGCGAAGAGTCAGCCACAAGATACCTGGGCCGCAGATATGCTGGTCTGCGTCGCCAGGCCTCGCAAAAACTCGCCGACTCAACAAGTGCAGCAGGTCAATCTTAATCGTGATGTGTCGCAAAGAACCTTTACCTGGAGCTGCAAACTGCATAGCTTCTTGGTCAGGACAAAGAAGCCGCTTGCAGATATCAAGCACTTCGTAGACCCCCCTCAGAACTTGCAAGCGCAAGGCCAGAAGGCCGCCTCAGGAACCTGGATTGGGCGCTGTGTGGGGTTCACGTCTGACGGCGCGTGTCCCCTTTCTTGGAAGGCGCTAAGCCAACGAAGCTTCGAAGGAATCACATTGCGATCTGCTTTTTGGTCGTTACAATAGAAACCCTTACAATAGCATTGCTCGGTCACAATGTTGCTGTTGTCGTGACGTCCGCCTCTACGACGGCAAGTTCGGCGTGGCCTCTGGGCATGGCATACATTGCAGCCAGTCTCCTCAACGAAGCACTAAGCACTCCTCACAAACCTTCCGGCGGCGCTTCCTTGACAGTAGGCTTTCTTGCGCGGCGGCTGGTCAGCGGGTTCAAGTTGACATCTGGCGGGCGGGGGTGGAGCCCCGACTACGCTCTGCGACAATGCACTCACCCGCAACACCGGTTCGATCGCCTTGAATGCTCTCTTTGATATCACTTACCATCTTTTCAATTGAGCGACATAGTTCATCTTTACTTTTTACACTGTACTGACAACACTGTACTGACAAGAAGTATGCTTTGATCTTTGATTTTGTTTATTCATAACATTTAAATATAGTCATAATTCTTCTGGGGGGGAGTCCATTTGGACAAGGATCGAAGAGGAAATCCGGTTGGATATTAGGGGGCGGTCCGCGTTTCTTCTTAATGGGAACGGAATATTCTGCCGGGGCGTCCGCAATTAATTCCTTACTCTCAAGGGGTGTCTTCAGCCAACTCCGTATTCTCAAGGCACGTCCGCAATTCCGTTTGGAAAAAACTCCCCAAATAGCGGGTTCTTACGATCGAGGGTTCGGGCTCACAAGCGCTGACCCTGTGCGTAAGAAGTTGTCTTCGACGCAGCAGTCTCGCACGCGCCGCACGGAGGTTCGCGCTATGGTGATGTCTTCTTGCTGGGTCAGGCGCGTGAAACGGACCTTTCTTCAAAACTGCGCTCTTGCCGCGGCGCCCCGCCGATCCTTGGAGTAGCGTTTTGACGCACAACTCCGTGGCCAGCGCCGCGTTCTGTGAGACTGCCGAGCGTCTTTCGCGGCGCGCGCAGTATGTTTTGCGCTGACGCCATGACATGCGTGGCAAGCGAAGCATTTTCACAAGCAGTGTCTATGAATTTCCTGGCAGGCGCAGCGTTTCATTCATTTGCAAGCGTTGCAAGATGAAAGTAAGCCCTCTGCAGAGATCGCGCGTGTCAAAGCGCTCTCGCTGCGGCGCGCGAAGTGTGAAGCGCGCTCCCGCAGCTTCGGCTGCGCAGGTGCAACATTTACGCGCAGAGCTAGTAAGCAAAGCGCACTCCGGCAGCTCCGGCTAGAAATTCGCAACTTCTAGGTACAAGAGTAGTACGCAAAGTGCACTCCCGCAGCTCCAGCTTGAGTTTCGCAACTTCAACTGATTTTGGCAACTCCGGCTGAAAGCTCGCAAGATTTAAGTACAAAAGTAGTGCGCGAAGAGCACTCCAGAGCTCCGGCTGTAACATCGCAATTTTTAGGCACACAAGGAGTGCAGGAAGCGCTGCGGCAGCTCCAGGCAAAAGTAGACGAAGTGCGCTCCGGCAGCTCTAGATCGAAATTGGCAAGTTTCAATTACAAAGGTCGTACGGGAGTGCGCTCCCGAGCTCCAGCTGCAATTGCAACTTTTAAGTGTCAAAGGAGTGTACGAAGCGCGTTCCCATGGAAGGAGACTCGCAGCTTTTGCATGCAAACTTGTACGCAAAGCACATTCCCGCAGCCCCGGCTGCAAAAGCACAAATGGCCACGTGCAAAGGTGGCGTGCGAAGCGTGTCCCACAGCTCCAGCTCGGAAATCACAACTTTGAAGCGCGGAAGTATAGTTCGGCAAGTGCATTCTCGCACCTCCAGCCCGAAAAAGTCGAACTTCAGCACGCGAATTACACATAGCACGA